GACAAGGTCATCTGCATAAGCTTGTAGATTTACTTTTCTTCTGTATAGGGCATCAAGCATACTATCCATCAGGAGCGACCACAGAAGATCACAGGAGATCCTTGGGACAACTCTGTCAAAAACTACGATTTTTCTATGAAGGCATCGTGGCCTAGAACAACAACATTGATGTTACCAAGTTTCTTCGTTTTCTTTGAAGACACGAGCGATGTGTATTGCAGATTTTCCATGTTCGCAGTACAAATCCACTATTTCAATTCGCTTTTGGGTTTATACAATTTAAAAAAAAAAAACATAGGTTGAAGAGAATAACACATCGACAAAATGAAAAAAAATTATACTTACCTAGTTCGTCACCTTTTGATCAGCGTGCCTCAAATTGTTTTCCATTACTAGATGAATCAAATTTACTTGTTATCGTGCGTGTACCAATATCTAATATATTTCGTCAAACAGTTTCTTGGAATTATTGAAACATAATTCATGTCTTACGACATCTGAAGCACCAGTCAATAAACAATCTAACTAATTAGACAGATTCCAACTGAAACTAGGGAAGTAAACATAAAAGTAGTGACAACTAATTTCAGATGCATTTTGGGATTTGAAGCGGAAAATGAAGCCCTGGAAAAGACGACATCAGCTCTAGATTTTCCAACAAGAAGCGAACACGATAACAAAAGGAAAGAGAAAGTCTTAAATGAAAGCACTCAGAGTACGAGTTTCGAATAAATATGGATGTGTTGGCATCTAAGGAAAATCCTGTAAAAAGAGAACAATCAGTGCCGAAAGCAAATCGAACAGAAAATCGTATAGATTTGTGGAGTGTGATTTATTTTGTGTAATTATTGGATTTGTTTTGTCTGCGAAAAGATTTTTTGTTCTGTTTCCAATGTTTCGTATTGAGGTCTGAATTGAAATGTATTTGCATTATCAAAAAAACCGTTGTTGAAAGACTTCTGTTGTTTATTATGATTTTTCTCCTCGTGAATATACAAATGGAAAATCAATTGAATGGAATTCAATTCAAATGCAATCGAAATCCTTGGTGTTTTTGAATATCATGCCACTGATTTTTTGGAAAAAAAAATGAAGAAATTGTGCTGAACTCTACAGATGACAAAAGAGCCTTTTCATTTCCAACTCAAAGAATTAGTATCGCTATTTTTCATTCGTTTGAAAGACATATTGATGCAATTATGTGTGGAACATAACATCTCTCAAATATCCGCCATGACTTCTCTGAGTGAAACGCATCCGAAATATCCAATTTTCCATTATCCTGGCGCATGAATCAGGCTGAATTCGACCGATGGCATAGGTTATGTTGGCTTGGAAGATCACTGTGGTTTGTAGCTCATTCGCATATTCCTGCGACTCAAGAAAATACACAAGAAAAAATCTAACGGCTTCAAATCGCACGATCTCGGAGGACAGTTCACATCATCTACACGCCCTGATATCACTCGTGTAGAATATCCAATGTGACATGAACTGTGTGGCAAGTAGCGCCGTCCTGTTGAAACTACATGTCGTTGGTGTCCAGATCATCCAATTCAGGCCAAAAGAAGTTGGTAATCATCGACTCAGAGTGCTCGCTGTTGACAGTAATGGCGTGATCAAAGTCGTTCTCAAAGATTTGTATTCAAATAACGAAGATTCTCCCTAAATATACGTCCATTATCCATTGCTTTCAGCTACGTTCTTGATTTTTTCAATACCCCAATTTCTTTACTCAAGGAGAACGTGTCAAACCTATGGATAAGAAAGTTCAGAATTGTTATTTTGTGTTACAGACAGTGGTGTGAAGAATGTAAATGAAAGAACTGGTATTCTTTCTGTAAACATCAAATTCTACGGATGGTAAATCCTCGTTAATTTCAATTTCATGTGTAAACCTAAGATTCGAAAATCTGTTGTTGAGAGTTGGGATGAAGTCCTCTACTGGCAGAATCTTCCAGGACTGGCTCACTCCAAGACGGTTATCTACCCATCGAAGCTTAATACTAAACAGTTGTTGGACTACAGTTGGGATGGACTACCATGTCTAACAGGCCTTCTCACAGGTTACTGTCATTTGAACCATCAAATGCAGACACTCGGACTGTCGGATGACAGTGTGTGCATCCTCTGTTCAGAAAATGTTGAAACAGCAGAGCACATACTTTGTGCCTGCCCCACTAGGGGCTAAATTAGGTTTTCAGAGTTCTGCGGAGCTGTACTCTTATCATCTGAACTGAAAGACCACTCACCATACAAACTAATCGGCTTCGTTAAAAAGCTGGGTTTATTTCATCGAGTGTGGATAGGTGTGAGCCACAATGAACCCTTACGGTTTGCGGTGAAGGGTCGGATAGACCTACTTACTTTGGACCTAACCTAACCCGTACCTTTCATTTTTTCGTGTCAAAAACGCAAATACATCATCTACATATCGGATCGAAGTCTTTGGAAAGTAATATAACTCCTTCTACTCCTTTTCGTTAATTGTGTGTAGTTTTCAACTACTTCTCCGCTAAGACGATGGACCTCAGCAGATCCCTCAAATATTCAAAAGTTTTTGGTATGACGATACTTGGAATTAATGGACCTTAGTACATCAAATGATGTACTAAACTCCCTCCTCCTCACAACTTTATATCCTTATGAAATCATGTGAATCAACGACAATTGAAATCAATTATGGAACTTGCGGAGGCAATTAGTCGCACCGACTTGCCAGGTTTGTGAATATATGGTAGACTGTATATTTCAGGAACTGTATGATTAGAAACCTGTAGACTTCTGTTCAAAGCTGCTAAGATCAAATTCAGATACTTCCTGAGTGTGTTTTTTGGGTCTGAAACCGTCTCAAGCGAAGGGTTCTTTGGTAATTCATTACGGGAACCGCTTAACATGAAGAACCGGTTTGTCGGTACACACTTGGAGAAATTATTTTATAGTGGAAAACGTGTCGCGATTTTGTAAACTGGTCAGTGAAAATCTCACAATAACGTGAGTATTGTATAACATACTTCATGAGGGAGTGGAAATGTGCAAAGTACAGCGTTAGCAAGACATTTTTACTGCAGTGGTCTTTCATATACTTTATTCTGTAGCAACTACTCCTTAGTTTATTAGACAATAGTTCTATATGACTTGCCCATTCGTATGTTTGTCGAAAAAAACTCCCAAAAGTTTCACCTCATCACCACAAGTTATTTGTTTTTCTGTATTTTTGAAAAACACAGGTGATCTTTGTTTGAAGCGCCCATAAAAATACTGTGACTGTTTTGTTATGATTCAGTAACAAACAATTCTTTTCAGACCACCAAATAATATCTTCATAAATCCTCTCAGTTCTACTCAGTAGCATGTCTATGCTATTTTCTAAAATTAGTAAATTGGTATCGTCTGCATAACACATCATTTTTATATCGTGGTTTCTTTCCATTAGATTGATCATATCATTTACAAATATATTGAAAAATAAAGGTCCCAATACAGATCCTTAAGGTACACCTCGATTTATTTGACGGTAACTACTCAGAACTTCATTCAGTCTAACAACCTGACTTCTGCCATTCGAATATGATTCAAATAATTTTAGCGATATCCCCCTAACTACATACGATTCTAATTTACTACATAAAAGCCTATGATTTACTAAGTCGAAAGTTGTTGAAAACTCAATGAAAAGACCCAGAGCATATTTTCCCTTATCAAGAATGTCTACAAGACATTTTTGAAAATCACACAGAGCAGATTCGGTGCTCATATTTTTACAGAATCCACTTGTAAAAATTTTTGTAACTTCAGAGTACAATCACCGTATGCCACTGTCAACAAGTAACTGTTTCCGAGCATCCAATTCCTTTTCTTCTACAAAATTTGATGCACATTCTTTGATCCATTATTTTCGATAGCAGAAAACGCCGAATATGCAAAACAGTTCTTTTTTATGCCTTTCGCCAACTAACTAAACGTGCTAAACAGCTGAAACTGTAATAAATATTTGTGATGCGTGTTTCAATATAAAAAATCAAACAATCGCAAATCGAATGAAAGTAAGTAACCCACGAAATTTGAACAATCACCTTATTTTTTGAACAAGACGGGTATATGTGAAATCAAAAATGAGTCTCGTGCATACCTATGAATCAAAANTAATTCTTTGGTAAATAAATATATTATTATTATTATCATTCGAGGACAACACAGTTTGATTATTTTCAAGCTTATTACATCGCTTCCTGTAGAACTACTTTTTATTGAATCTATCATTTCATGAACAATTAACTAGTCAACAGCTTTAAATTTGAATTCCGAGTTCATAAGGGGATTATTTTTGTAGAAATCCGAAAGGGTTGTAGAATTATCCGTCTCAGGTGAAGAATTTATGAAAAAATTATTAATTTCTTGAGGTATTTCCAAGTGATTCTTCCTAAGAATTAACCAACGTTCTTTATCAGATGAGTGATTTAATTTGTGATTGAAAAAAAGCCTTTTTTTCCTCGTTATTCCCTGATTCATGTAATTTCTTAACTGTTTATAATAATCCCAATCTGTCTTACGTTTATTAAGAGCCCTGTCTCTAGTTTTCATAATCCTTTCAACATTTTCAGTTAACCATGGTGCAGGGGGTTTGGTAAATTTTTTGGTCACTAACGGAGCATGAAACGGAAATCTAATAATCTGATAATACTATCAACCAGAAATGAAACTTTGTCATCGACATTATTTAGGTATAAGAGATGAAAAAATGGTATTCTCGATAAGTCGTATTGAAATAAATCATAACTAAAGTTGTCATAATTTCTATATGTTATGATTTCTATATTGTTCTTGAATGTTTCAATCTCCCATTTATGTTTTTTTCTCTACATGACCCACTGTTGAAATTCTTCAATTTCGCTCTGTAAATGGGAAACTGTTGAACAATAAACGATATAATCATTATCATCATTAAGTACCAGCTAGTTCCATCACATTTCACTTACTAATTCGATCCGCATTTCCAGGCAAAAAATCGACATAGAAAAAACAGCTACCGGTCCCGGTGGCATTCCTGCTGACGCCATCTACACAACGACGCCCCGAAACATGCACAATCCGCAGCATCACGGAGGCAGCCCGGAGGCCATGAAGGTACGTCTCGCCGCTATGGTGCTGCAACCCCCCACTAGAGTGTAGCACTGCACCCTCGGGCCACGGCGGGGAGTGCCCCTCTTAGGCAACGGCCGACCCGCCACGGTCATTGAGTACAAATGTTAATCGTTGTTCTGAAACAATTACCATTCCAATGATTTTTTTCGAACCCCGCTGTCAGCAATTCTACGAATTATTTCTGTTTGAAAAAAATCAACTCACGATATCGAAAAGAACCACCGACATATGAACATATTATTCTTTGAAAGGTAATTTCTGTGAAGGAGTTGATATTTCTTACTGTTTTTTGGGGTTTATAACCTTCCACAAATTGATAAATAAACTTAAAAACTTAAATTTCTATACTTTTCTTTCTTCAGGGAGTTAAAGTTTTGTAAAAATACCTTGAATGAAATTTCTAGAAGTTAGATTCGACAGGCTACATGAATATACATATTCACATGTTATGCTTGGCAAATCTAGCGGTGCCTCTAAATATTGAATGCGCAGTAGATCAGCCGGCGAAGTGGGATTCGAGCTCATAACCATCGAGAAACTCATGTAGTACACATTGTGTTAGTGCACTAATTATCTTCGAATCATTTGCCAGCTGCACAAAAGGAAGATTTGGGGTTTCCNGTGAAAATTTTTAAGACTTTCTGATGCAAGAGAAAATGAACATCGTGAATACACAAAGGACAGACAAATATAGAGCTCATGGAAAATACCGGAGTATATTTTGAAATCCATTCAAAATCCACTTAATGAAATGAAGTGAAACAAAAATTGTTAGCAAAGAACCTTAAGACAAATGAGAAAACTTGAAGAATCCTCAACAAGTGAATTTGAAACACCTCTATGGAAATAGATTGTACTGGTTGCAATTGCTAACTAAGGCGAGGGGTACGAAACAATGATTCTCAATAAGACCAGTCATAACTCATCAATTGATTTCCTCAACTAGATTCGTTTTGATTGGCTGAAGGTGAGAAAGTAAGGTAAAAAGTTAAATATCGACCAGTTTTTGCGTTATCTTACCTTCACACTACGAACTTTAAAATATGTGCTAATATGTGCTTGATTATATGATTTGTAGACAAAATTAATACTGCTGAATAATTGTGTTCTATAGTAGTTTACTTTCCATAGTAACTCTTCTGGATGAATATTTCAGTTTGCCTCTGTTACACTGATCAAATTTCCTTTTGCTTCCGCTTTGTTCATATTGCGGATTGTGGAATGTTATAAACCCAAAAAACAGTAAGAAACATGAACATATTGTTTTCATTCTCACGAGGAAAGCAATGATAATTATTTTGCGCAACTCAGAAACGAAATATATTCAATGTCATTCAGCTCATTGGTCATTCACAGAGTCAAAAAATCTATATCGTACTTCAACATCGTAATTATATGTGGCTTCTCGGGACATTTGCCGGTTCACATTCATCGTCGAACAAGAATGGAAATTGTTAGGAAAATACTTCTTCCCCGTTCTGGTTACGACAATCACTGATTATTCAAAATTTTGGATGGAATTCACAAAATGTAGATTGCTGCTACTTTATAACAGTATAGTTTTCAATGGTGAAATCTTTTTCTGAAAATGAAATAGGTTTTTTTTCAAAAATATTGTAGTGGATTATTCTCATGAAAAATTTTGGATATTTCTGAAACTTTCAGGTATATTCTTGTCCTCAAATGGATAAAATATATTCGGTGGTGAAACCAAATCGAAATGAATATCTCTGGGGTGGGAAGATATACGGTCAAATTTGGATTCCGTGGTCAATGTTCGACATGATAACCAGTATGCTCCACAATCAGAAGCTATTTGCCCCTATCCCTCAAATGTCACTCGCTTCCGACATTGTCATGGTAATTTCCATTCATTAACCCAATTATTAAGCTAGCTAACATTAATTAGTCAAATTATAACGCGATATATCAAGTTCAAGTTAACTGATTCCCTTACTCCCAATATGGCATATTTTGTTCATTCAGTTAGTAGCGGATTCAATCGTTTAGGTCATGGGATTAGAAAAAAAAAGAAAATTTGGGAAGGTGGATAGAATATATCTTTGAGGCGATGAATTAATACATTTGTATCTGTAGAGTAGGGAGAATGAGTGTAGGCACACAGCACTCATGCCAGATATGACCTTCCCGAGGAGTTGTCCTCCTAGGTAATCGTCTATCCTGTCCTTTCCAGAAAGTTGGACAGGTCACTAGGAGATATCTCCTTTATATCGACACGTGTAGGCCAAAACTCGCCAAACACACACTCTCTTATTCACGATAACCCCGGACACTCGCATAGGACATGCCTGACTGTTTCATTTTCCTTTTCACACATCCTGCATAGAGGTGTGTCTACTAGCCTCATATTATGGAGGTGTTTCTTCAGTTCACAGTGGCCAGTCAGAAATCCTACTGTTGAGCGTAGATTTCTCCTGGTCATCGCCAGATATTTCTTCGGCGACAGCTTCCCAGGGTCGCCCACGGTGATCCTGGCAAAATTGTATCCTTTGATTCCATCTCATCTCGCAATTGTCGAATTCATCAGGCCGTAGGTGCCACTGGGTCCTAAAATTCTAAGTCCAGCCGCTTCCTCCGCTAAAGAGTCGGCAATGCGGGTATCTTCACTCCTGTTGTATATTTTCACCCACCTCAGGATAATGTTATTATCTACCGAGGCTTTGGCTAAATCTTGGTGGCACTCTAGTACAAGCCTTGAGGTAACACATTGTGTGTTCAAGGCTAATAGAACTTGTCTACTATCAGTGCAGATTGTTATGTTTTTACCAGAAATTCCTTTCCTGGTTATTCCTTTTGTAGCGATTGAGATACCAGCCAGTTCTGTTTGAACCACGCTGGTATTTTTTCTCATTCCCCACTCAATCCTCAGGCTAAGTGATCTGGACTACACTCCATATCCTGAGCCTTCTTTGATTTTTGAGCCGTCTGTATATAAGCGTATTGCATTTTTTGCATCTGACTCTGTGTTCTGTTCATCTGTCAGCTTCAATATCGACATACTGTTTCCAGCATTTCGGCCAGTATCATACCAATGCCAGCTGTACTGTTGTCCACCTGGTCTGGAATTGTGGTTGGCTTGTACCCGTACACGAGAGACTTCAAGTATCAGCACAAAAAATTGTCTAATGGGATCAATTCGCATGATCTCGGCGCCCAGTAGACTACTCCAAAACGTAAGATTAATTGATCACCACACGCGCCTCTGAATTGGTTCATGATATCGCGTCCCGTGTGGCATATGGCATCGTCTTGTTGAAATCACAAGTCAACCAAGTCCTATTCTTTCGTTTTGGGAAAAATTCATTTTTGATGAAGTATGGTCCGATGATACTACAGCCCCACAAACCGCACCAAACAGTGCATCTTTCAGGGTGCATTAGCGGTTCCTGAACTGCCTATGGCTGCTATCCACACCAAAATCAGCAATTCTGTTTGTTGAAGTACATATTGAGCCAAAAATGAGCTTCGTCGCTGAACATAATGTTTCGATGAAAAAATAGATCTACATCCAACTTTCCTGAGGCCCATTGCTCAAACAAGCGACGTAGTAGTACGTCATCTGCCTTCAGTTTTCGCAGCAGCTGTATTTTGTATGGTCCTCACGTGAAATTCCCCAGTTGTTCGAATAACATAACCACACTTGTTGACAAAGACGACGAATTGACATATCGTCCATTGGCACTGGCCGATACAGCAGCAATATTCTCCTCAGTATGCACTCTTCGCATACGGTTTGGTAGATTTATGACGAATGGAGTGTCCACAGTGCGAAATTTGTTCATAATAGCTTGAATAGCCTGTTCGGTGGGTCGATCATGACGACCATGAAATAAACATTTTTCACACAGCCGAATTTTGATAATGAAATTCAATGATTTTCAAGCTTTTTTCGTTTGTTAGTCTATTCATGGTGGAATAGCAAACTCCACTGAGCATTTTCAGCATTGCCACATGTTAGGAATCTTTTTGTGACACTGACAAATCTGCACTGATGAAGCAAATAGCAAAAATGTCACCCATTATAACAAACTTTACTAAGCTCAGTCGAAATCTATAAAACAGGAATGTGTTCATTAGTTGAAAACATTTCGAATAGATTGAAGGTAATCGAAAAAAAATACTAGTTTCATTAAAGTAAACGTTTATTTTGGTAAAGCGTTCATTATTTTTCGAAACTTTGTTATGCGCTTCCTATATATCAGAATCTTTCAAGTTCAAATTGTTGATTCATTATCAAACATATATTTGGGGTGACAATACTCAGAAAAAGCTCCATACGGAGCCTGTCAGGAGCGCAACCAGGAATTTATTGAGGGGGGGCGCAAATGTTTTCTAGTGAAGATGATGAGGATATGAAATGCATTTGATGAGTTTATTCTATTTATTTCACGAAAGGGATAGAAAAAACCTTCAATCTATGGATTTTATATGTCTCACAAACAAATATTATCAACTAAGCTGGAATATCGGGATTCTAATGAGTTTATCATATAAAAAGTATACAAAAGATATATATGGATCTTCAGGCTGAATAGTCACATAAATATTATCAACTGAACTGAGTTATTGTGATTTCAATGAGTATGTCATAAGAAAAGATTAAAAAGTTACATCTATGTTCATATACATTCAGCCTACGATGTAAACTGAACTTTTTCGTTCTTTGATTCAGCGAATTTCGAGCAAAAGAAAGGATTGTTCGAACACAGAATAAGTTGAAAAAGATTGAATCCTATATTTCATAAACATCCTATGTTTCATAAACATTGATAAAAAATGTTGTGCACCAAGTTCTTACTTGATTGCTTCAATATGAAATGTATAATGAAATTCATGAGAATAATCAAAACCTTTTTTTACAATAAACGAAACCTCTCAGAATATGGATTTTTGTAAGACTTATCTTCTTGAACCATCTACAAAATCGCCCCTCGCTCATTCATGTGATTGTATGTATATAC